TCTGAACTCATACCGCAATATGAAATTTATTTCACCCACAACCGGAAAACATGAAAAGATCCTTCACACGCCCATAACTCGGGGATATACCTCGAATCACGATGGAATTCAAACACCTAATAGTTCTTCTATCATCCAGCAGACCTTCCTCGTCACTTCCAAGTTACATAGATACATCTCGCAGTACTAACATACTCATCACATGGCTATCCAGCCGCCACTTCCACTAATAGGGACAATACCGAACATATAAGTTCAAAATAATTACTCACACAATCAGCACCTCGGTGCTCAAGCCATAGGCAAAGATCCGGCGTCAAGTCCTCCAAACTGGCCCAACATCAACTCACAGAGATCACATCTCGCCCCTCGATCGGGGAATCACAAACCATCAAGGCACATCTGATACTAAGCGCTCATGCGCGCATGCAAACGCGTGGAAGGAATTTCAAGAGTTACTTTTCAAGCTGAATCAAGGACGCACGATAAGAATTCAAGAATGTGAAGTTTTCCTAAAGGTTCTACAGCCTCTCGAGGAGAAATACAGACGTCTCCGTACCGCTCCGTGAGACTCTACTAAACCTGCTCATGACTCGTGAGACCTAGTAACCTAGGCTCTGATAACAACTTGTCACGACCCAATTCAGTGAGCAATAACAATAAATAATGGCTGAAAGCATGAAAACACATAAATGCACAAGGCAATTCTATATCAGGCAGTAAATTACTTAAAGCAGTAAAACCATAAAGAATCAAATGAAATCTCCTTTTAAAAACAAGTAAATCAAGTAAAACAACAAGTAAATAGTGAGTAGTAATCTGCCCCTCGGGCCCAGTACCAATCGCTCAGAACAGTATCAGCCCCTCGGGCTCAGTATCAATCACTCAGCACAGTATCAGCCCCTCGGGCTCACTCTCAATTACTCAGCATAGTATCAGCCCCTCGGGCTCACTCTCAGATCATATGGGTACCCGCGCTTACTGTGGGTGTGCAGACTCCGGAGGGGCCCCTTACGGCCCAAGCGCTATATCAACATAAGGCCTGAAAGCCTTCTCACATCACACATAAGGCCTGAAAGCCTCCTCACATCACACTCGAGGCCTGAAAGCCTCCTCACATCACACTCGAGGCCTAAAGCCTCCTCACATCACACTCGAGGCCTGAAAGCCTCCTCACATATGGACCTCGGCCTCACTCAGTCCAGAAAATATCATAAGCCCCTCAGGCATCAATAAAATAGTAGTGCTCAGCCCAAACAATAGTGGAAATATCATTTAAGTCTCAAAGTTCAATTAAAGCAGCTGATTTTGTAAAACAGTATAATCAACAGGACTGAGTTCAAGTAGTATATCAAAATAGTGAGGACACAGTGATAAAAATCCACGAAGGATTCAAGCAGTCGGCATGAAGCCCAAAATATGGCAATAGGCCCAAGTCATGTTGATAACAAATACATTTCAGTCAAATACGCAGTAAAATTTTTAATCGGGACGGACCAAGTCACAATCCCCAGTAGTAAACAACCCCGCGCTCGCCATTAAGCGCGTGTTTCACCTCAATACAGCACTACGTTGTGCATATCCGGGGTTTCAAACCCTCAGGACATTATTTACTATCATTACTTCACTCTGATCTCGGTCTCAATCTAGGCCCGCGATGCCTCGCCCGCACGAATCGACCTCCGGATGCTCCAAATCTAGCCACAATCAGTACATATCATTAAAATATGCTAAGAGAAGCAAAGCCCACTGAAAATATCCAAGTTAACATCAAAATCCCGAAATTGCTCAAACCCGGCCCCGGGCCCAGGCTTCGGAATTCGACGAAACTCACAAAATCTGACAACCCATTCAACCACGAGTCCAACCATACCAAAATTACTAAATTCCGATAACAATTCAGCTCCAATCTTCAAATCTTATTTTCAAATCCTAGGTCCAAATCCCAATTTACCTCAAAAACATGTAATCTAGTCGGATTATTCGATGATAATTCAATATTATGGAGTAGAAATGATCACAAGTGACTTACCTCAAGATTTCCCATAATTTCTTGCTCAAAAATCGCCCCAAGCCGTGTTCTTTCACAAAAAAAAACATCAAAATGAGCAAAAAAAAACAGAACAACACTAATACACCCGAATCTGGCCGCTAAAAGCCAAATCTGGTCGCTAAAAGTGCCAAATCTGGTCGCTAAAAGGTGCACACCAGATCTGATGCACCAGCAATCTTTAATTTTACTAAAAAGGCTCTAACTCCATCATACAAACTCGGAATTCGATGATTCTTGTTCCTATGAGTCACAAATAATAATACGAACATAGCCCTTCAATCGAAACTCAATTCGGAGCTCATTTGCTCAGTGTGATACCCATTTCGCTCGTTAAACAATTAACTCATGTTTCGCGTCAAAAACCCAATCGCGACTAGATGAAATTAAACCAAACTTTACAGATCACTCCTATATATTCATTGTCAAAATTCCGAAGTTCTGGAAATCAAATTTCGATCTCTAGAACTAAAAATGAACCTTTGGATCATTACATGCTTATGCTCAAAACGGCAAAATCTTCCAAAAACTCCTCCAAAACTTATCCGAGCCTCATGGGACCCCGACCAAACATGCCAACACACCTCATAACATCATTCAAACTTTGTTCCAACCTTCGGAACGCCAAAACAACATCAAAACATCGAATCACCCTCGGATTCAAGCCTAAGAATTCCAAACTTCCGAATTACTCTTTCGATCAAAAACCCTACCAAACGACGATCCGAATGACCTGAAATTTTACAACACAATCACAAATGACATAACGATGCTATAGCAACTCTCGAAATTCTATTCCGACCCTCGGATCAAAATCTCACCTATCAACGGAATTCGCCAAATTACTAACCAATTCAAGCCTAATTCTACACCGGACTTCCCAAAAACCAATTCCGATCAACGCTCCTAAAGTCACAAATCACCTAACAAAACTACCAAATCATAAAAAACTCCGATCCGAGCTCATATACAAATAAGTCAACTCTTGGTCAAACCTTTCAAATTCAAACCTTTCAATTGAAACTGTTCTTTCAAATTCATTCCAAATTTTCCTGAAAACCAAAACCAACGATCTACATTAGTCATAATACATAACACGGGGCAAGTCATGCTCGAAAACTGGCGATCAAAGTGCAAAAGCTCAAAACGACCGGTGGGGTCGTTACATTAACCCATGTTTATACTAATGTATGGGCTTCTACTTTTAACCCTTGCTACTTTTAAAGCGTGTGCTCTACTTTTAACTCTACTCACTTTTAGCGAAGTAGTCCAATTTTTACCTCGTACTCATTTTTGACGCATGAGGCTCCAATTTAGAATAAATATCTTCTTTTAACCATTGCAAGCAGTGGTGATGAAAATTATGTGAAGATGGTGAATCAGGTTTTGTAAAACAAAAATCATGTCAAATCAGATGATTATTAGGGTTTGCCTTTTTTTCTCTTCATATTTGAATATTCCCTGTTACTTGAAGAAAGGGTAAATTATTTACTATAATTGATTTTACTTTACAGAAAAGAAAATATAAATCTCTTCCATATTTGACTAATATATATCTTGGAGGAAAAGATTGTGACTTTTATAAATTGAGGATTCCTCTTCATACACAAATTTACAAACAACAACAACAACAACAACTACCCAGTAAAATCCTACAAGTGGGGTCTGGGGGGGGTAGTATGTACGCAGACCTTACCCCTACCCCGAAGGAGTAGGGAGGCTATTTCCGCAAGACCCTCGGCTCAAGATAAGAATAGTTTACAATGTAGTCCATAAAAGAGTTTTATCTAGGGGGAGAATTTATATCCTCAATAAGTTTTTTCTCTCTTTTATATTTGTATATTGATGTAGGCCACTTGACCAAACCATACTAAATTAATATATCTCTTTTTAATAGATTTTTTTATGTTGTCTGATTTATAGTCGCCAAGATTTGCATTGTTAGTTTTTGTATGATGTCTTGTTATTTCGGTCTCAACAAGTACAATATAATTTTTGCCCTTTTTCGGTACTTTTTTGGCTTCAATTAAAAAATATTATTTTGGTAGTTGCTTTTGCTTAAAATTTAACAACAACATATCCAATGTAGTCAGACAAGTGAACTTTGATATTTTTTTTTAAACACAAGAGTTAATTGTAATTTTTTTATTAATACAATAATTAAAGATAGAGTGTAACAACGAAGTAGATAATGACAGAATTTACGAATATATCATGTGAAATAATCTGAATCGAACCATCAAATAGCTTATCAATTGGAACTGATAACATGTTTGACCATGCTTCTTTTTAGCCAAAAGTGCTTTTTTTGGTTGAAAGTATTTTTTCCGAAGTTAAGGAATTTGACCAAACTTTTAGAAGGAACAAAACACTTTTGAGTAGAAGTAGAAAAAAAAAATTCAAAAGTATTTTTCAAAATACACTTAACAATACTTTTTAAAAGTTTGGTCAAACTCTAATTGGTGCTCAAAAGTATTTTTCAAATTAATTAGTCAAACACAAATTGCTTACCACCCAAAGTACTTTTTTGTTAAACACCTTTCAAAATAAGTTAATATTAGAAGTTTGGCCAAACATGCTATAATTACTATTTAACAACCAATCATAATAACTGCTAAAAAACTTCATTTAATTACCTAGACCAAACCTGATAATTATAAATTATCCAATGAAAAACTAGACAATGCAAGGGAACCATCTTATTTATTTTTATAAATAAATAAAAAGAAAATGTTTCTCAAATAAAGGGGAGTCTCAACTGAATTTGTACAACTGTTGGGAGTGGTAGGTAAAAGTCACCACTTTCAACAGAATCACTTCTCCGCCCACCTCTCGTTTCCCACGCGCTAGCTCATAGCGCGTTAGCCAATCGGATATTATTTTTATCTTTATTTTTAACATTTGAAGATCCATCCAACTCCAACCACCCCCACTCTTTCTATATATACTGCAGCGATTCCTCGCTTCAAATTCGTGTCTCGTTCCCCTTCTTCTTAATCTTAAGGATCAAGAACCAATAGTGGTGTAAATCATATACCGGTTCTTTCTCTTCCTAAAGGTACGCTCTGTCATTCGTCCCTTTCTGTGTCTCTTCTCTACCACCCATTTCTTGATCGAAATTCTCCAACTTCTGTTTTTTAGTCGTGTTTTCTCCTTTTGAGAGTTCTTCCTCAGGATTTTTTGATTTAGCAAACACCAAATTGGTCTTTGTTTGCTTTAGATCTATTGGTATGTACTTAACCATTTCATAATTCTATTTTGGCACAGTCAGGGTCCATTTCAGGTTCAGCTTTTTATTTTTTTTCTTTTGATTTAGATCTATTGTTATGTGGTATTTGTATTTCTATGCATGAGAGTTGAGTTCTAGATCTGTGTGATATGGGTGTAGATCTGGATACAGTTATTTGTCAATTCATTGGATCTGTCTTTGTGAAATTTTGTTCGAGTATGGCAGCATTGTTTATATTGGATGAAACTTAGATCTGGCGTAGATAGATCTGATTGTATTATTGGGTTATTCAATATGTGGAGTAATATATGATTGAGCACGAGATGCTTTCTGTACTGGGCTTCCCTTTTACTGTCTTGTGTTTCTATCCCCGTTTAATGGCAGTAGCAGTATAATATATAGCAACTGTAAAAGAGGGGTCGAGGGATAAGCTTCAATCTGGGTTGATTATCTTATTTATAACTTAGCATTGTGTACTTGTTTGGTGTTTGTACATTATCTAAAATTTCATTCTCTGTTTAGTAGCAGTAGTAGTACAATACTATATGACAATTGTTACTTTTTCACTTGTTAAGAAAATTTATTACTGTGAAGGGACAAGCTCAGCTTTCTAGTAATGTACTTTCTGTGGACACATTCATTACATATTTAATAAGAGCAACGCGTGCAAGTGCTCCCAACCCCAATTCCAAAAACTTTTACTCCCTCTACTTCAAATCAGATAACACACTTCCTAATTAGTCTGTTTAAAAAATAATGATACATTTTTACAATTGAAAGTAATTTAACTTTGAACTGTTCATTTTACTTTTAAAGGGATGGATGCTTTTATAACTATACAAATATCATGACCACACACAGCTTTTAACCCTTAAGCTTTTAACACCACAAGTTTCAAAAGTCTTTTTTTTTTTCTTAAACTCTGTGTCGAGTCAAACTACCTCATCTAAATTGAACGGATGGAGTAAATAATACTACTACTACTTAACCGCATATCATTTTTATGCCTTTTGAGTATGTCAATGTGATATTTCTACCAGTTTTAACAAAATGTGATATTTCTACCAGATTTAACGAATGTGATCTGTTTAAATATCCTGATTGAGTTTTTGTCTGATTGGCTGTATTTGGTGAATCAGCGAAAAAATGGCATCTCACATTGTTGGATATCCCCGTATGGGCCCAAAGAGAGAGCTGAAATTTGCTCTCGAATCTTTCTGGGATGGGAAGAGCAGTGCTGAAGACTTGAAGAAGGTGGCTGCAGACCTCAGGTCTTCCATCTGGAAACAGATGGCTGATGCTGGCATCAAATACATCCCCAGCAACACATTCTCTTACTATGATCAGGTGCTTGACACAACTGCAATGCTCGGTGCTGTCCCAGCCAGGTACAATTGGGCTGGTGGTGAGATAGCATTTGACACTTACTTCTCCATGGCTAGAGGAAACGCCTCTGTTCCTGCTATGGAGATGACCAAGTGGTTTGACACCAACTAGTAAGTGACATATCAATCTTTCCCATTTCACATGTTAGAATTATCTTGATTTCCCTATACTTATAGATGATTGGTTTGCTGTTTGATCCAGCCACTTCATTGTCCCTGAGTTGGGACCTGATGTTAACTTTTCTTATGCTTCTCACAAGGCAGTAGATGAGTACAAAGAGGCCAAGGGGGTAAGTGACTTCATTTTCTTATTTTCAATTTATGAGACATATTTGTTATCTGTCCTATTAGAGGAGAAGTCTCTTAAATTTGAGGTAGTATGTCTGCATGGGGGATTTACCTTTTGTGCCAGTTAGGTATAATGATGACAAAATTGTGATACATATTGGGTGGTGAGAAGGAGGCAGTGCATTTTCTTTTTTCCATTTTTCTTTGGAACAGGGTCACCACTGATGTTAATCTTTATGATCCTTATACCAAATACAGAATGCAAAATCTTTTGTTCATATGTAACTTTTCTTTATTTAATTCACGAAATTAAGAGATTAAATTGGTGACTAAGTGATCTTGACATTTTTACTGCAGCTTGGTGTAGACACTATTCCAGTCCTTATTGGTCCAGTCTCATACTTGTTGCTATCCAAACCTGCTAAGGGTGTTGAGAAATCCTTCCCTCTTTTGTCACTTCTTGACAAAATCCTTCCAATCTACAAGTACGAAAGTTTTTTCTCTTTCCTTTCTTGCACCCTATTTCCAATTCATTCCATTTTAACATGAATTTATTGATGCAGGGAAGTTATTGCAGAATTGAAGGCTGCTGGTGCTTCTTGGATTCAGTTTGATGAACCTACACTTGTGTTGGATCTCCAAGCTCACCAATTGGAAGCCTTCACTAAGGCCTACGCCGAGTTGGAATCATCTCTGTCTGGTCTTAACGTTCTCACTGAAACCTACTTCGCTGACGTCCCTGCTGAAGCATTCAAAACCCTCACTGCTTTGAAGGGAGTTACTGCCTTTGGTTTTGACTTGGTTCGTGGAACTCAGACCCTTGATTTGATCAAAGGTGGCTTCCCTTCAGGCAAGTACTTGTTTGCTGGAGTGGTTGACGGAAGGAACATCTGGGCAAATGATCTTGCTGCATCTCTTAACCTTCTGCAATCTCTTGAGGGTATTGTTGGAAAAGGTTTGTAACTCATGTCTGTGCACTCGATAGTTGATTTTGCGTGTGATTTGGTTCAGATGATAACTCTTTCTGTATTCTTCTTTTTGCAGACAAACTTGTTGTCTCCACATCTTGCTCACTTCTCCATACTGCTGTTGATCTTGTCAATGAGACTAAGCTAGATGATGAGATCAAGTCATGGTTGGCATTTGCTGCCCAAAAAGTCGTTGAAGTTAACGCTTTGGCCAAGGCATTGGGTGGTCACAAGGATGAGGTATACTTGATCTTAACTAAGTCATCTTTAAAAAAGTGGCTCCCAAAAATATGTCTTTGTCCATTCTTATATAAAACATATTGAGAAAAGCGACTTCCAATAACTAAAGTTATTTTATTAACTCTTGTTATATGTGAACTGATATCTCTTTCATGGTTAAATTTCTTGGATTTTACTTTCAGGCGTTCTTCTCAGCAAATGCTGCCGCTCAGGCTTCCAGGAAATCCTCTCCAAGAGTGACAAATGAAGCTGTCCAAAAGGCTGTAAGTGAAGAACTAAGTGATTATTAACTCCTGATGACCTTGTTTTGAGGATCACGTTGTACTTACCAATTTATGCTCTTTTGATTTCTCAGGCTACTGCTCTTAAGGGTTCCGACCACCGCCGTGCTACAAATGTCAGTGCTAGACTTGATGCCCAACAAAAGAAACTTAACCTCCCAGTTCTCCCAACCACCACCATTGGGTCCTTCCCTCAGACGGTGGAGCTTAGGAGAGTTCGCCGTGAATACAAGGCCAAGAAGTGAGTATTATCACCTGTTATTTACTTGTCGTTGTCAGGAACCTGGCTTCTGATAATGTCTTATGCGCTAGGATCTCTGAGGAAGAGTATGTTAAGGCCATCAAGGAAGAAATCAAGAAGGTTGTTGTTCTCCAGGAAGAGCTCGACATCGATGTCTTGGTTCACGGAGAGCCCGAGGTAAGGCAAATTACCTTGATTTACTGGCAAAGCTAAGCTGTACTTTACACCTTATTCCTTTCATGCCTATTTTCCTGCCTTAAATCTTTTTTATGGATTTTAGTAACTCTGGATGTCCAATGCTTACAGAGGAATGATATGGTTGAATACTTCGGAGAGCAGCTTTCTGGTTTTGCCTTCACTGCTAATGGATGGGTTCAATCTTATGGATCTCGATGTGTGAAGCCACCAATTATCTATGGTGATGTGAGCCGCCCCAACCCAATGACCGTATTCTGGTCCACAACAGCTCAGAGCATGACCAAGCGCCCAATGAAGGGAATGCTTACCGGGCCAGTTACCATTCTCAACTGGTCTTTTGTCAGAAATGACCAGCCAAGGTAACCTTTTACCTCCTTATAAGTTGAGAACAGTGGAGAAGATTTCTTATAATAAATTCTTATAGTGTTACCAGTCAATGTTGATGTGTATATCTCCGTTTCCAGATTTGAAACTTGCTACCAGATTGCTTTGGCCATTAAGGATGAAGTGGAAGATTTGGAGAAGGCAGGCATCACAGTTATCCAAATTGATGAAGCTGCTTTGAGAGAGGGGTTGCCTCTAAGGAAGGCTGAGCACGCCTTTTACTTGAACTGGGCTGTCCACTCCTTCAGAATCACCAACGTCGGCATTCAAGACACCACCCAGGTCCTCAATCTGACATTGTTACTTCAACTTTGAACTTGTTTATTATTATCTCTGCTTCTTGTTCACGAGACATTTTTTTGTGTCCATCAGATCCACACACACATGTGCTACTCCAACTTCAATGACATTATCCACTCTATCATTGACATGGATGCTGATGTGATCACAATTGAGAACTCACGGTCCGATGAGAAGCTCCTCTCAGTTTTCAGGGAGGGAGTTAAGTATGGTGCTGGAATTGGCCCCGGTGTCTATGACATCCACTCACCTAGAATACCATCAACGGAAGAGATTGCTGACAGAGTTAACAAGATGCTTGCTGTTCTTGACACCAACATCTTGTGGGTCAACCCAGATTGTGGTCTCAAGACTCGCAAGTACGCTGAGGTAAAGCCAGCCCTCGAGAACATGGTTTCTGCTGCCAAGGCCATCCGCACCCAACTTGCCAGCAGCAAGTGAGTCAGATGAAGGAGTCGCGACATATCAAAATTCCCTTTTTCATGAAACAGAAAATTTCATGTTCATTTTTAATCATTGTGTTGGCAACAAAATATTGTTGTGTAGGTTAGCTCTGCCCGCTGGGCATTTTCTTCTTGTCTTTGAGCCATTTCCTTTTCGGAAGAAATTATATCCAATGTATTATGATGTTTATGGGTCGATTTTGTTACTATGCGTTATTTCATACATTTTGATAGTGACATTTTCATTCATATTGCAATCTCTTACCCACAATCCCCTCATATCAAGGTGGATTGCAATCTAACTTGTGCAGTTGCTCCTTGATTCTCTGCTACATATCAATCAAAACACTTATTCCTAGTTTAGGGAATTATGCTATCCGTACATGTATCAACCCCTAAAAATTAGTTTGCATTGGTTTCCTCACGGCCTTAACTATACCATGTCCTGCAAATCCTTAATTACTTAATACTCCCTCAAGGTGAATGCCAGGCACTTTTTAAGAATGAAGACTTTCCATTTATGTGGTTATAAAATCATATCGTAGGGGCAAAACAGCAAGTTAAACTCTAAATTAACCTTTAATATATAAATAAATGTCATTGCTTTTTTAAAATAGGCTAAAAGGAATGGTGTCACATACGATAGAACAAAGAGATTTTCTTAAAATTAGCTCTATTTCAGTAGACCAAAAATTTTAGAGTGCAGAAATCCGTTTTTCCTTTTGATTAACTCGAGTTTCTTTTGACAATAATGTTGTGCTAAAAAACAAGTTAGTTTGCTCAAAAATAAAAAAAAATAAATAAATCTACTTTTACAAAGATTAAATAAGTTTCGTTAAGGGAGAATTACACATAAGTACAATTCATACACTACATTGCAATTAGTTAGCCCAGTTATAACTTTACAAATTTATAGCCCAAAGATAAAAGGCTAAGGTCCGAAAAAAGCTTTTTTACACCACCAACTACTACTATTATTCCTTCTTCATAAATTCCTACGCTTTGCACAGATTTCAATTGAAACAATCAACTTCAATGGTGGCATTTATTTTCTGAAAACACGTAAGGCTTTAATATTTGAATTTGCTTTTCTTAATGTAAAATTGTTTAGAAATGGAAGCAGTAGAAACATCTACAATTCTAGAGGAGACTTAGACTGTTTAGATGATAAAATGAGAATAGTGATATATTTTAGAACTATTAATTTAATTGAAGGATCTTTGTCAAATCTTATATTTGTTTCTTCCCCAAGTTTCAAATGGTAGAAATAAAAAAAGTTTGCTGCAAGTCTGTAATTTGGCAGAAAAAACAAATAAATTGATATATATATAGATTTTCCGAAGAAAAAGTAAGAATAAATACAAACATTTCAATTTTAGTTTTAATTGTACATGTTTATATATAATAATGTATAACTTTATATATGAAATATATAATAATGTATATAAAAAAAATAAGAAAAACAAGAAGAAGAGAAGAGAGAAGAAAGTATCAAACTTTCATGTAGCCCAATTATACACTAACAATATATATATATATATATATATATATATATATATATATATATATACACACACACACACAATATTGTATAATGCAAAAATATATTTATATAACATTATACACAAATATACATATTTATACATATTTATACACAATTATACATAACTATACAATATTGTATAAGTGTGTATAAATATCGATTATACAAAATTTAAACTAGAAACACCTTATGTCCTTCACCACACCTTTATTTTAACACCAAAAATTTGCCTCACCAATTAATAATACCATTATTAATCAACACCCATCCAAATTGAAGAATATAGTCACAATGTTATTCAAATTAAAAAAATTCAAAACATTCGAGTCTATTTTTTAGAGAACCCAGCAGTAGAATCGAAAATTTTCCGTCCAAAATTCTTCACACAATTGAGTTTAATGCACAGGGACATCCATGGCCCATATCATGGAGCTTTGAGCTTCAACAAAGATGGCTTTTTTAGATCTAAAACTACAATTCAAATTCAAAGGATACAACTTGTGTGGTGTGACAAAGAAAAAAATGAAATAGGTGATAAAATATTTTCTGTGAAAAGATAGGAACAGAGAGTAATGGAAGACGATGAAAAGGGAAGAGATTTCTGGTGGAGAAGATGATGGAAAGAGTGAGGAGGCAGCGAAGAAGACGAGAGAAAGTCTTTTTATCATTTGTTTTTCTTGTTAGCAACTACTAGGGCTAAAGGGTGAAATAACTTTTACATATCATATACAATGTGGGCTAGTTTTGGTAGCACTTACAAATATGGGCCATTTTTGGTAGCATCATGGTATCAATTGTATTTGAGCGTAATTTTTCCTTTCGTTAACCCTGAAATTGGTAGAAGCTACAAATGTGATAATGAGTAATGACTGTAAGTGACGAATTCTTATTAGTAGTCCCCCTTTCGACATGCATAATATTTGCAGCAGCAACAACAACAACAACAACATATCCAATATAATCTCACATATAAGGTCTGAAGAGAATAGCGTGTACGCAAACCTTACCCCTACCTGGAGAGATAAAGAGGCTATTTTGATAGACCCTCGGCTCAGGAAAAGGTGGAAAGAAAGAGAAGGGAAGAAGAAGAAAGAAAGAAGATGGAGACAAAAGACGATAAGGAAAAAGGGGAGAAAAAGTAAGCATCAAATAGTAACAATCAGGGAGCAATAATTTTCAGTAAAAGGAGAGAAAAAATAGCATCAAATAGTACAATCAGGGAACAACAATTTTGAGTAGCAATTTTCGCTAAGTACCAGATATAATAACTAACTAGAAGAAATTATCTTTCAACCAACAACAAGAATATTACTAGTACTACTGGTAAACCTAGGAGAAACTCACAACTACCTGTCAACCCACCACCTTAATCTTTGACCTCCACGCCTTCTTATTGCTAGTCATGTTCTTCGTTAGGTGAAGCATCGACATGTCCTGCTTAATCACCTCCCCCAATGCTTCTTTGGCCTACCTTGCCCTTCCTAATCAAGCCCGTCATGGGCAACCTCTCACACCTCCTGACCGAGACATCTATGTCTCTCCTCCTGATATGCCTAAACCATTGCAGCATCGATTCCCGCAACTTATCTTCCACGAATGCCACTTTCACCTTATCCCTAATAACTTCTTTTCCAATCTTGTCTTTCCTAACTAGAAAACCATCGCATGCATAATATTTGCAAATACTGGATAAAAGTATTTGAAAATTTTATGTTTGTTTCACAAATTAGAAGCAATTTTCAACTTCAACTTGAAACTGAAATGGGTTTTCTGATTCAAAATATTTCAAGTACAATAATAATTTTCACTTAACGCCAACTTAGAGAATTTCTCAATAGTACATACTAGGTTATAGATTTTTTATGGTTTATTTGATTATTTATTTTATATATTTACTAGAAAAATTAATACCTTTTCTATCTCAATTTATGTAACACACTTTTTTTAATCTGGGTTGTATACCATTAAAATGAGTAATAATTAAATTTATACACGGTTAAAGATACGCGATTTAATTTAACACAAATGATCTATAAACAGAAAATAATTAAAGTAAAGAGAAGCAAAATAATCAAACCAAACGTAATGAACAATTAAGCTTGGCTTTCAGATGAACACTAAAGATTGACTTCGGTCCGGCCCTCGAGACGAGCTCGGTTGCAGCCAAATAATTAAGCAGCTGAAGAACACTATGGACATTAACTAGAGAACAAAAATGAACTTTATTGCTTTGATATGCGTGCCAATAATGGTTTTAAAATGAAAAGGTTGTCCCCTTTATATAGTAGGGAAATTTCAATCATAGTACAAGTCTAAATAAGGTAAAAACCTTCTCTTCCTAGTAAATGATGATTTGTAGTTGATATCGGGCGAGATTTACATCATTATATCCGGTTGACGGAGGATATTAAGGCTCCCCGCTTATCGTGCTTAACCATTTTTTCCTTTAGTCTCGAACCTTCACTCTGCTCGGACCCGATGTTCAGTCGTATGCGGTCCCAGGTGCACCATTCGTCCTCCCCGGGTTCTGAGATGTGGAACCCCTACTCGAGGTCATACCAGATCGTGTTTCCCTCTCGTTTCTTTACCGGTAAATCGAAGGTAACTTTATCCCCAATTTTACCCGCACACAGATAGTCCCCGCACTTTTCGAAGATCAGATTTATCGAAACGACAAAAAGTGATTAATTGACCCCCGTTCCTTCCTCCGTCGTTACAATCAAGTCGACGAGTCAGTGAAACATCCCATTAATCGTGTCATTCTGACTTTGGACACATGTCAGCCGCCGGATGATTGTCCTCGAATGTGAAACGTCACACATTAATTACCTCCCTCCTATAAAAGTTTCGGTTCTTTTTTTACTTTTTTACTTTCCGATTTCAAACCTTCTTAAGTTACCCCCAAACTTTTTACTTGCTCATAATTCCTTCAAATCATCATACATTGTTCTTCACGTCTTATATCTTCATCTCCTATCTTCATATTTTGTCTTTAAATCTAAGTTTGACCTTCAAATGTTCATACTCTTCTTTAAACCTTCATATCCGCCTTCAAACATTCATATTCCTAGAATTCGATGGCGAAAACCTTGATATCCATGCCTCATAATACCGCCCTTTCAACTTCCACCCCAGCCACTAGCATTGAAGCGACTTTACCGGCAGTAGCCCCGGAACCTCTCCTTAAAGACTTTATTCCCGGAGGCCTCCATAAACAATGATTTTAAGGCTGAGAAGGCCTCAAAACAAGGGGATCATGGTGAAGAGGTGTGGAGGTACATCTGCTCTATCACCGAAGAAACACTCCCGATGGTCCGAGAGGATTGCAAGTGAGAAGGTAAGGAAATAGTCATCCCCGATCCCGAGGAGGACATTACAACTTACATGAAGAGGTACTTAAGCGTTTATACGTACCCCTTCATGCTTGGCCCTATGGACCTGGTGGTCCTCGACTTTTCTAAAAGGTACTAGGTCTGCCTCGGACGGATCCATCCATCTTTTTGGAGGACCGTGATCCTCCTCCGTCACTTTGTTAATAACACGGAGGAGCCTCGGTTCACTATCGACCATTTACTCCACATCTACGACCCCCGAATCTTCCGAGGGAAGTGATCAAGCTTGCCCGATGGGCAAAGAAGGCTCCATTCTCAAGCATCGACCAAGACAAGGACCGAGGCTAGCAGGGGAGATTCGTTTGGGTGAAGAC